AAACGAATTTTTATAGTTATTTCGCGTTTTAGGAAACTGTTTTAATAAATTGTAACAGGAATTGATTAAAATACTCTATGTTGACAGAGTTCAGACAAGGTTTTGGAAATACACGGTATTTTAAGAAAAATTCAGCTGTAATTTTGAGGGGGTTGTAGGCTGAGGTGAGCGGTCCTTTTTAGGGGCGGGGGGGGGGGGGGGGTGGCTGGTTTTTTTTGTGACGGAGGGGCGAGGTAAAATCGTCAAATAAAGCGTGACGTCATATATTGGATGACCCCCTATCCACGTCATCAACCCATCAGCCATGCCTGCCTTTTGGTCTTTTTATTTTTCCATCGGAGTTTTGGCTGTACACCGTACAGAGGCGTAGCGACCCTTCCCGGCGCCCGAGGACAATCTTTTCGATTTGCACCCCCTCACTCAAGATTTTGATTTGCACACCCTCCACCTTTCAATTTATTTTTCCAACCCATTTTGTCCCCCCCCCCCCTGCCTGGTTTTCTTATGGGGGGGGGGGGGGTTAGGGATTTTAACTGAATGTTATGAAATCAGTATCAATAATGCGTTGTATAGAGATTTATTTACGAAGGGACACTACTGAATTAGAATCTTCGGAAAAATAATCATAGCTTGGTTATATCCCCTATATATATAAATACTAAGGGGGAGAGGCTCTAAATTGTGCAACATTATTTTAATTGAGGTCGGGAGTCTGACTTTTGTGACGATATGCGAGTAGGGAAGGAGCCAAAATCTGGTGGTTTTTTTTTAATTGTGACGTCATAAGGTGCCTGGAAATCGGATATCTAAAAGGTGTAGGTTAAAGTATTAAACAATGGAGTAGCTCATATAGGATTCAATGGGGATGTAGCTCAGTGGTAGAGCGCTTGCTTCGCATGTGAGAGGCCCCGAGTTCAACCCTCGGCATCTCCATGTAATATTTTAATTTTTGCAAATTTCACTTTAAGAAAATGTGTTGTTTTATCAAATTAATATACACATTATACAAACAGACGGTGTCTAGATTTTTGTTGAGTTAGAGACGACTGTTCAGTTAATTGCAGTGTTGGTCTAGTGGTATGAGATTCCAATATGGAGACATCAAGAACGAAGAAAAATAAGACTGGCGGCAGCAGTGGCGTAGCGAGGTGTCACCCGGTGCGGTCCGCACCCCCCGCCCCCCCCCCCCCTCGCTACGCCTCTGGGCGGTAGTGCCCTGCTTCATATACAAGCAACCCAAGTAGAAACAATTTAGCCAACCAGAATGAAACCACTCACCACTAGAATAAAGAGAGCAGCGTCGACCCAATGTTTGCGAAGTATCTCCAAAGGGAAGTAACCCATGGCTATAGCAGCAGTCCCGTACATAAGCCTGGAATTATTTCAACAAAACGTTTATATCTGCAGCAGTCCCGTACATAAGCCTGGAATTATTTCAACAAAACGTTTATATCTATTAATATTAGTTCTGGGATCTCTATCAGTTATGACGTCATGCACCTGGTGGGAGGGGTCTCGGATGTTGTGACGTGCCACACGAAGGCAGGGGGCAGAAGAGTAGCGACCCTTTCCGGCGCCCGCGGACAAACTTTCGATTTGCACCCCCCCCCCCTCAGACTTTCCATTTTCACCCCCACCCCCTTTCGATTTGTTTTTTCCAACCCATTTTAACGCCCCCTAAGGTCGGCGCCCGGGGACATGTGCCCCCCCCCCCTCGCTACGCCTCTGCGTGGGTGTCACAGAGGAGGGTGCTACGGGGTAAGATATGAGTAAGATATGAAGCGAGGCATATGTTCTGTATATCTTAAAACTAATTTATAACATGTTGATTTTCGTTTTGTCTTGGTATATGAGGTTGGAAATCTGTCGCAGCCATCCGGCTATATGTGACACTGTGTGACGCTATGTGACGCTATGTGACAATGTGTGACGCTATGTGACACTGTGTGACGCTATGTGACACTGTGTGACGCTATGTGACACTGTGTGACGCTATGTGACGCTATGTGACACTGTGTGACGCTATGTGTCGTTGTTTGACTTTGTGTGACATTAGTGAGGGTGGGTTGAAGAAAAGGCATTACGTCATGTATAAGCGACCTGTGCACACAGACCCTACGTGGAGATGATATTCAGCTATCGAACAAATTATCAGATATCGATCAATTTATAAACTATTGAACAAAAAAATTATCCATTGAACAAAAACAAAGTCAACTATTGAACAAAATACAAAACGCCTTCACCGACTGACAGGGGTGACCATCTTAAAGGGGAAGCATTTCCGTCAAACATGTGCATCCACTCTTCCAAACTGGAGATTAAATAAAAAATGTATGTGAAAATGTAAGAATAAGGAAGTATGTTGACACCCAGGCTGAACGTTAACCTAAACTTGACCCCAACTCTAAATTAATACTGGATTTCACCTGAATCCCAAACCTTAACCTAATCCCAACATAAATCCAAAACCAAACTTTATTTGACCTGACCATTGACGCTCACAACCCGGCTATTTCAGCATCCTCCCCCCTCCCCCACCCCCATATATAAAACTGAAAATAACAGCTTTCTCATATAGTTACAATAATTGGCGACATCACTTTCTTGTGTCATTCAAAGTTTAGTTTGCATTATAGTATTTTATATATATATATATATATATATATATATATATATATATATATATATATATATATATATATATATATATATATATATATATATATATATATATATTTATTTATTTATTTATTTATTTATATATGGCTGTTTTTAGAAAATGTTACCCAAATCTGAAGATAGCGGTAAGCGAAACGCTAAATAAGAGTTGGCACAGAACCGTCAAGAGCATTTTAAAAATCATGACTGTGGATGAAACAATATTAGAATTGTGGAATCAATGGGCTTTTTTTTTTGTTAAAACGCTGCTTCAATTCAGCTCTAGATCTAGAAATTGTGCCACATGACATGACACTTGTGGCTACCACGACACTCTTGTGGCTACCACGACATTTTTGTGTCATCTACGACATTCACTTCTCACTAGATTAGACCGACCCACAAGTTCGTATAATTACGTGTCAATCTACGAAATCTACTCCAAAATTTAAACTAATTAAACCTCAGCTTCAATTTGATTATGAAATAGATTTTCCCTCAAGTACGTCAACTAATCGACTGCCCCCCCCCCCCCCCCCCCCCCCCGAAGAGATGCCTGGAAGAAACTCTGGGCACATGAAGGCTACACACCTCTCTTGTGTTAGGCCCACTACATTCCGGCTGCTTCTGCTTCAATGACGAATTATCTTTTCCAAGATTGTATACCAAGCAGAGGCGTAGCGACGCTACCTGGCGCCCGGGGACAAACTTTCGATTTGCACACCCTTCGAACTTTTCATTTGCACCCCCCCCCCCCCCCTCAAACTTTCAATTTGGCGCCCCCCTAAGGTCGGCGCCCGGGGACATATGCCCCCCCCCCCTCGCTACGCCTCTGATACCAAGACGGCAAAGTTAAATTATAATCACCCAACAACCCCCCCCCCCCCCCCCACACCCTGGAAAGTGTGTATGATAACTCACGTGACCGGATGTGCTCTTTTCTTTCCCAGTTCGGCATGGCGAGAAATTTACTCAACTGTGATAGAAAAATGGCGAGAAATTTACTCAACTGCGATAGAAAAATGGCGAGAAATTTACTCAACTGTGATAGAAAAATGGCGAGAAATTTACTCAACTGTGATAGAAAAATGGCGAGAAATTTACTCAACTGTGATAGAAAAATGGCGAGAAATTTACTCAACTGCGATAGAAAAATGGCGAGAAATTTACTCAACTGTGATAGAAAAATGGCGAGAAATTTACTCAACTGCGATAGAAAAATGGCAAGAAATTTACTCAACTGCGATAGAAAAATGGCGAGAAATTTACTCAACTGCGATAGAAAAATGGCGAGAAATTCACTCAACTGTGATAGAAAAATGGCGAGAAATTTACTCAACTGTGATAGAAAAAAAAATGTGCAAAGTTTAAGTCATAAAACTGTTGTGACCTCAATATTTACCTACCCCTAGAATACACAACTGTGGTGACCTCAATATTTACCTACCCCCGGAATACATAACCTGTGATGACCTCAATATTTACCTACCCAAGGAATACATAACTGTCGTGACCTCAATATTTACTTATCCCTGGAATACATAACTGTGGTGACCTCAATATTTACCTACCCCCGGAATACATAACCTGTGATGACCTCAATATTTACCTACTCCCGGAATACATAACTGTGGTGACCTCAATATTTACCTACCCCCGGAATACATAACTGTGATGACCTCAATATTTACCTACTCCCGGAATACATAACCTGTGATGACCTCAATATTTACCTACTCCCGGAATACATAACTGTGGTGACCTCAATATTTACCTACCCCTGGAATACATAACTGTGGTGACCTCAATATTACCTACCCCCTGAATAAATAACTGTGGTGACCTCAATATTTACCTACCCAAGGAATACATAACTGTGCTGACCTCAATATTTACATACTCCCGGAATACATAACTGTGATGACCTCAATATTTACCTACCCCCGGAATACATAACTGTGGTGACCTCAATATTTACCTACCCCCGGAATACATAACCTGTGATGACCTCAATATTTACCTACTCCCGGAATACATAACTGTGGTGACCTCAATATTTACCTACCCCCGGAATACATAACTGTGGTGACCTCAATATTTACCTACTCCCGGAATACATAACCTGTGATGACCTCAATATTTACCTACTCCCGGAATACATAACTGTGGTGACCTCAATATTTACCTACCCCTGGAATACATAACTGTGGTGACCTCAATATTACCTACCCCCTGAATAAATAACTGTGGTGACCTCAATATTTACCTACCCAAGGAATACATAACTGTGCTGACCTCAATATTTACATACTCCCGGAATACATAACTGTGATGACCTCAATATTTACCTACCCCCGGAATACATAACTGTGGTGACCTCAATATTTACCTACCCCTGGAATACATAACTGTGGTGACCTCAATATTACCTACCCCCTGAATAAATAACTGTGGTGACCTCAATATTTACCTACCCAAGGAATACATAACTGTGCTGACCTCAATATTTACATACTCCCGGAATACATAACTGTGGTGACCTCAATATTCACCTACCCCCGGAATACATAATTGTGATGACCTCAATATTTACCTACCCCCGGAATACATAACTGTGGTGACCTCAATATTTATCTACCCCCTGGAATACATAACTGTTGTGACCTCAATATTTATCTACCCCCTGGAATACATAACTGTTGTGACCTTAATATTTACCTACCCCCGGAATACATAACTGTTGTGACCTTAATATTTACCTACCCCCGGAATACATAACTGTTGTGACCTCAATATTTACCTACTCCCGGAATACATAACTGTGGTGACCTCAATATTCACCTACCCCCGGAATACATAATTGTGATGACCTCAATATTTACCTACCCCCGGAATACATAACTGTGGTGACCTCAATATTTATCTACCCCCTGGAATACATAACTGTTGTGACCTCAATATTTATCTACCCCCTGGAATACATAACTGTTGTGACCTTAATATTTACCTACCCCCGGAATACATAACTGTTGTGACCTTAATATTTACCTACCCCCGGAATACATAACTGTTGTGACCTTAATATTTACCTACCCCCGGAATACATAACTGTTGTGACCTCAATATTTACCTACTCCCGGAATACATAACTGTGGTGACCTCAATATTCACCTACCCCCGGAATACATAATTGTGATGACCTCAATATTTACCTACCCCCGGAATACATAACTGTGGTGACCTCAATATTTATCTACCCCCTGGAATACATAACTGTTGTGACCTCAATATTTATCTACCCCCTGGAATACATAACTGTGATGACCTCAATATTTACCTACCCCAGGAATACATAACTGTGATGACCTCAATATTTACCTACCCCCGGAATACATAACTGTTGTGACCTCAATATTTACCTACCCCGGAATAGATAACTGGCGACCTCAATATTTACCTACCCCGGAATAGATAACTGGCGACCTCAATATTTACCTACCCCGGAATAGATAACTGGCGACCTCAATATTTACCTACCCCTGGAATAGATAACTGGCGACCTCAATATTTACCTACCCCTGGAATAGATAACTGGCGACCTCAATATTTACCTACCCCTGGAATAGATAACTGGCGACCTTAATATTTACCTACCCCCTGGAATAGATAACTGTCGTGACCTCAATATTTACCTACCCCGGAATAGATAACTGGCGACCTTATTATTTACCTACCCCCGGTTTACATAACCGCGCGGTATTCCCTGTGCTGCGCACACTCTGGCACAGCTCTGGAACCGGCACCGCCTCACTTTCCGGACATTCTCCGCAAGGGCTCCTCGCCTGTTCCTCGAGTGTTGACGCCGCCTGCTCGGTCTCAGCCGGGCTGGGTTCCAATGTTTTCAGAACGGAGGTGCTTTTCTTCGCCACATCTTTGAGGTAGACTCCTAGATTTTTAAAAATGAGCTGCGGCATCCCGGACTGGAGGATATTGACCTGGTGGCAGTTGAAGTCGAGTATCTGAGGCTGGGGGTAGATCAGGGGCCATCGCAAGACGTGCGGCTGGGACGTCGAGTTCTGCGATGTGTTCATTTCCGTTCAGGTTGGTCTGGGAGAAGATTTTTATTTTTAGATTTTATCAAAATATTAAAAAAAAAATAACTGGTTGTTTTGGAAGCTTAATCAGATATAGTTGTTAGATCCAAGTGATGTCATCAAAATTTAAAAAAAAAGGTTCTGTACAGTCAGAGGCGTAGCGCGGGGGGGGGGGGGGTGCGGACCGCACTGGGTGACACCATTTAGGGGGGTGACACCAAGGCAAAAAATAGCAAATTATATAGAGAAAAATTATAATTCCACTTAATTAAGTGATTAATTCGAGTGTTAAATAGTCTTTTAAGAGGTGCAAATCGAAAGTTCGAGGGGGGTGGGGGTGCAAATCAAAAGTTTGAGGGGGGGGAGGGATGCAAATCGAAAATTGAAAGTTTGTCCCAGGGAAGGGTCGCTACGCCTCTGTGTACAGTGTTACTTATTGCCATGGATTTAGGCCTACTAGACAAAATACATTGTCTCAGGTACGGCGTTTTAGTAAGTCCTCCCCCCCCCCCCTCCCGTCAGATGAGGCTCGAGGATAACTGGGGACAGTAACTCTTCTAGGAGAGACAACTCTAAAATCCAACAACTGCTGCCTTGTAGTTTGTTCTTGGTTGGGCAAAGGCCATGGAAGCAAATCCAAAAAGAAAAAATCAGGCTGAAATCGGAGTCAACGGCCTTTATCGCCCAACAAGTTGGAACGTAAGATTTGATTGTGTTGGAAGGGGATCCCTTCCAACACTAGAATTAAAAGAGAAGAAAAAGAATTCTGTTACTGGAGAAGAATGTGTGTTTCTTTAATTTTTTACAAGCTTTTATTGAACTCGATAATGATTTTGTATTCGTCATGGGTCGAAACTTGTTAACAAAATTTAAACCACTTCTACCGAATCAATTTGTTTCACACTTAAATCAAAGGCGAAAACCCGATGACAATGCAATGTGACATGAAATTTGACATAACTGGATGCTACATACACGTCTTTTTGCGCTATTACACACACACGCACACACACACTTGGCACACATGTATTGCTAATCATGCAATTTTATTTTATTAACTTGTATTATTTTAAAAAATTAGAATAAAAAGGTTTCTTTATATAATAAAAGTCCACTGTTAAACAACTATAAAACAAAACGCGAGTCACATTGAATATCATCAATAAAATTATATAATCGAGCCTCGCTTTTCTTTATAGTTATTTAATACTATTAGTGTATAAATAAAACCATGAAATCATAAACAAATGCGGATATTATTGTATAATGGCATGTCCTTTGGCAGCGATACTTGAAGAAATAAAAATACATCAGTAGTACAATGACATTATTAATTCCATATTTATTAAAGATGTATTTGAATGACACTATAAATTCCAAAAATCCTGACAAACGTTCAATATCTCCGAAATGTTCTAGAAGCTTCCACGTCAGTCCATTGCCGCCTACAGACTGCCTGCTGTGTTTCGAGTGGGGAGTCAACTTGCTGTAACTACAAGAACTTTCTCCTGACGCCTTCGTTCAATCATGGTGCTCTTCAGTGTGGGCATTTTCACATCTCGAATTATTTTAACGCGCATGATTGAGTGTATTTTTGTATAGGCAGATGGGCTACGTCAGCGTGGAGAAATGACCAGTTAAACATCACCAACATCGATATGGTCTTCATTAATTTAATTTTCAGTCTGTAAAATATTGGATGAGTCATCCAAGACCAACATCGCGAACTGTACCGTAGACTAATGATTTGTAGTTTTTCTCTGATTGGAATGGTTCAGGGTACAGAGGAATCTTCGGGGTTGTTTAACATCCCCGACGAAACAGTGTTGTTTGTGTAAATGTTTTGTATTTACTACTACTAGATCTACTTTTTCGTGTTATTTTGTTTCGAAATTTGACAAAACAAATTCGCAATTGGTACAAATGTGAATTTTTTTGTACAAAACATTCACCTTAAACCACATTTAACCACTTCAACACACACTACAACACATACTCCACCAATCCCACATACGCCACCGACCCCCACAAACACGCTACAACATATACTCCACCAACCCCCACAACCATACGCTACAACACATACTTCACCAACCCCCACAAACACGCTACAACACATAATCCACCAGCCCCCACAAACACACACTACAACACATACTCCACCAACCCCCACACACTACAACACATACTCCACCAACCCCCAAAAACACACACTACATACTCCACCAACCCCCACAAACACACACTACATACTCCACCAGCCCCCACAAACACACATTACATACTCCACCAGCCCCCAGACACTACAACACATACTCCACCAGTCCCCACACACTACAACATATTCCACCAGTCCCCACACACTACAACACATACTCCACCAACCCCCAGACACTACAACACATACTCCACCAGCCCCCACACACTACAACACATACTCCACCAACCCCCAGACACTAAACACATACTCCACCAACCCCCACACACTACAACACATACTCCACCAGCCCCCACAAACACACATTACATACTCCACCAACCCCCACACACTACAACACATACTCCACCAACCCCACACACCACAACACATACTCCACCAGCCCCCACACACTACAACACATACTCCACCAGCCCCCACACACTACAACACATACTACACCAGCCCCCACACACTACAACACATACTCCACCAACCCCCACAAACTCCACCAACCTACACTACAACACATACTCCACCAGTCCCCACACACTACAACACATACTCCAGCAGCCCCACACGCTACAACACATACTCCACCAGCCCCCACACACTACAACACATACTCCACCAACCCCCAAAACAACATATACTCCACCAACCCCCACTACAACACATACTCCACCAGCCCCCACACACTACAACACATACTCCACCAACCCCCACTACAACACATACTCCACCAGCCCCCACACACTACAACACATACTCCACCAACCCCCACAACAACACATACTTCACCAACCCCCACTACAACACATACTCCACCAACCCCCACAACAACATATACTCCACCAACCCCCACAACAACACATACTCCACCAGCCCCCACTACAACACATACTCCACCAGCCCCCACACACTACAACACATACTCCACCAACCCCCACAACAACATATACTCCACCAGCCCCCACACATTACAACAGATACTCCACCAGCCCCCACACACTACAACACATACTCCACCAGCCCCCACACACTACAACAGATACTCCACCAACCCCCACAACAACACATACTCCACCAACCCCACACACTACAACACATACTCCACCAACCCCCACAACAACACATACTCCACCAACCCCCACACACTACAACACATACTCCACCAACCCCCACAACAACACATACTCCACCAACCCCCACAACAACACATACTCCACCAACCCCCACACACTACAACACATACTCCACCAACCCCCACAACAACACATACTCCACCAACCCCCACAACAACACATACTCCACCAACCCCCACAACAACACATACTCCACCAACCCCCACACACTACAACAGATACTCCACCAACCCCCACAACAACACATACTCCACCAACCCCACACACTACAACAGATACTCCACCAACCCCCACAACAACACATACTCCACCAACCCCCACAACAACACATACTCCACCAACCCCACACACTACAACACATACTCCACCAACCCCCACAACAACACATACTCCACCAACCCCCACAACAACACATACTCCACCAACCCCCACACACTACAACACATACTCCACCAACCCCCACAACAACACATACTCCACCAACCCCCACAACAACACATACTCCACCAACCCCCACTACAACACATACTCCACCAGCCCCCACACACTACAACACATACTCCACCAGCCCCCACACACTACAACACATACTCCACCAACCCCCACTACAACACATACTCCACCAGCCCCCACACACTACAACACATACTCCACCAGCCCCCACACACTACAACACATACTCCACCAACCCCCACAACAACATATACTCCACCAGCCCCCACACATTACAACAGATACTCCACCAGCCCCCAGAAACATGCTACAACACATACTCCACCAGCCCCCACACACTACAACACATACTCCACCAACCCCCCCAACACACACATTACATACTCCACCAACCCCCACAACAACACATACTCCACCAGCCCCCACACGCTACAACACATACTCCACCAGCCCCCACACGCTACAACACATACTCCACCAGCCCCCACAACAACACATACTCCACCAGCCCCCACAAACACACATACTCCACCAACCCCCACACACAACAACACATATTCCACCAACCCCCACAAACACACACTACATACTCCACCAGCCCCCACACACTACAACACATACTCCACCAAATTTTAACACAAAACCACGTATCAACTGACTATTTAATATCTGAGACTGAGCTACAAGATAGACCAGAAAAATATGCCTTGAGATCAATCCACTAATCCATCATGCAGTTACAGTAGACTCAAGTAAAGTATTGTACATTGAGGCATCAAAGCACACAGAATTCTTTAAAAATCATATAACAAAGATAATTGTAAAAAACAAAACAAGAAAAAATCCCATAAATTTTAAATATTATTGTTACTAGAAAGTGCAAAACCAGTCATTCCACAGAATGTCTAAAATAGGAAATCAAATTTGGAGGTAAATCCAACTCTACACATTGCAAACAAGGGAAGCATAGAATAGGCATTCTACTCCCAAAACATTTCACAATATTAGACTAGAGTAGGCTACTAATTCAATGCTCTAACAAGACAAGAGGTAGGCCTAGTGAAAATACCGGTACCATTAAAATTTGGAGTAAATATTCACCTATTAGCTTGTGCAAAACACTGACACAAATTTGAATACAAAAGAAATAATCTAGTTAACAATACTCTTAAAAAAGCAATGGTGAAATTCCACTGACTCTTACCCTAACCCTAAACTTAATCTTACTTTTTGAAAAAATCTCTTTCAAATATTTTGTAGTTTAAAAACAAAAAGAGCCTTTATATTGCTAACTCAGTTTTACTTCATTGTTACACATTTTGACATGAAACCTTAAACGAAAATTGACATTTTGCACTTTGCCTTAAAGAGTTCATGTCTATTTGAAGAATGCCTAGGTATTATCATAATGCCTAAGCAAAGTATACAATTATATAGCTCATATAAGATATTATGTAGGCAACCTTGCCTAAAGGCATCACCATTCAATTAGAATATTTAATTTAGGTATTCTATAGAATACATCTGCATTTCACACTTTGTCGGTAATATACATCTTATAAAAAGTAAAAGAAGAATAAGCACCATATTGAATTTTTAGCATTAGTGATCAACTCCAAAAATGAATCAGGATTTTTACAAACTAATTAGTTTTTTTTCTTAATTATGGTTACAGCTTTATATAGTGAAACGTTAATTAAAACAATTAGCTAATTTTAAGCAGGCCTATTGGTAATTAAAAAAAAAAGCTTAGAGGAAAAAGCTCAATCTAATTGTACATTTATCAGTTCAATATAAATACTGGTAGGACATAAGCAAAACTCCCTGAAATAAAAATTATATTAGAAAAATGATTATAAGCATTCGACAATTGCAAAACGGCACAATACATGAAACACAATTATATAATTCTATGACCTTGGTAAAACATTAAAAAGCCGAAAGGATAAAATACCCAATAAAATACAAGGGTGTAATAATAACACAGTGGTAAGATAAAAATAAAAAGCGTAAAATGCAAAACAAAAAGGATGAGTTCAGATATGACTGGGATGGCTAGAAGAACAAGAGGTCTAAAGAGCTACAATAAAGTAGCATAATTAGATCAAATAAATCACGGCAGAGAAAAAAAATGGTATCATGGTTATATTTTGATAAAAGCTTGAGCGTGCAGAACTTTTCAAAGAACACATTCAAACAATCTGGCTAGACAGTGGCGTCACTAGGTCAGGTGTTCTCCCCCCCCCCCCCCAGTAATTGAGGATGTCTCCGCCAAAAATGTGCATTTTTAACGTTGGTGTCATCTCTTTTGACTTCTACTTTATTTTAACTGGATAAAATATTGCTTTGACTGTTAACATTGTTTTGACAGTAAATTTAACAAATTTTTAAATTTGGTGTCACCCTCTAAATGGTGTCGCTTAGTGCAAACCGCAAACCCACCCCAACCTTGTGACGCCACTGAGCTAGAACACTGACCGGGATATAAAAAAAACAATAGTAAAGTATACAATAAACAAAACATTTACTCATAACTCAAAAACATATCAAGAATCAATGGAAAACTAAACTCTAGTTTAACTCATTACTCAAAAACATATAACAGGAATCAATGGTAAACTATACTCTAGTGTAACTCAAAACTCTACAACATATAGCAGGAATCAATACTTTTAAAAACTTATGTCAGTAGCACGCATCCGATTAACAGATAAACTAATTAGTTGTTTAAAAAAGTAAAAAAAAAAAAGTACGAACAACAGATTTCTAAGAACATTATTGTTACTTTAGTACGTGAATGTAAGATTACATATATTTCTTATTTAAAGATCAATACTCTAGATATCGGCAAACATTAAAAAAAAAACATCAGCAGAGTCTCAACAGATAAAGTTATGGGTATTGAAAAAATTGATAAAATAAGCATTTAGCTTATTTAAGATTAAAGTACAGGCTTGAAACAATTTGTAAAATGAACACCGAGTCTGTCTTTCAGCACTTGAAAAAAAGACTTCTGGGGAATATTGCACAATGCAAAAATGTTTTAAAGTTGTTGAATTTATGTCTCGATTATTTTTCACAACCATCTCAACAAATTTATAATGACCAATTTGGTCATTCCTTCAATTTTTAATCTCAACAAATGACTTTTACCATTCAATTTACCATCTGAACAAAGGACTTTATAATGACATATTTGGTCATAACATATAATTTATCATATTGATAACTGACATTACAATGACCAACTAGCTTATACTATTAATTTACCATCTCAACAATTTAATTTTTAACGACCAACTTGGTCATACCATTAATTTAACATCTCAACAATTGACTTACAATGACGAACTTGGTCATACCAGTTTTTCAACACCAGTGATGACAAACTGAGTTTTTAACAATTTGATGGAGAAATATTTGTAAATAAAAATAGACTAGAAAATTTTAAAAATTAGAAAAAAATAGTTGAAATGCTATAATTAGAACAGACATTTTAAATAGTCTGAAATAAATAATTGTGATAATAAAAAAACTAACCCAATGAACACATAAGACAAACTGTACACGAAATAATTCAGATCTTTATTATTTTTATGGCACACAATATTTCTAAGAAACTTTACAAATTATATTCTAACACTTCTTGCTAAAGAGGGAAAATTATAGAAAAATAATTAGACAAAAGACTGAGTTACTGGTGGTATGACATCAATTTTGGTTAATCTAAAATGGGAAATGGGGCTATAAAATAAAGACTGGTCAATTGCGATTCTCTAAAACCTAAACTAATGGACACAACACAGACCTAGATAATTACACATGTACACTTATTGACTTACTGAAAATGCTAATATTTTTGAAGAAATTCTTATTCTCTTGTTAATATTATGGCAATATATTTCTAATTGAGTAGAAAAATAATACACATGAAAGACATTATAATAAGGCTTTTGAGAGTTTAGTTAAAAGATTAAGAAAGATAAAATAAAATCGTGTTCAATATTTAGCATTAAAAGTAAAATTGTCTTTAGTTCTGTTTTTTAAAAAGCATACAGCAATAGTATAAGCTAGATTAGGGTTTAAACTATAATTTTTATTTGTACTTATTTCACTTGTTAACTCATGTTGGGTATTATGAAACTGCTGTTTCTACACTAGTATTCAAATTCTTTAAGAAATTGTGTAATTGCACGTTTTAAAACTTTTCATTTTTAAAAAATTCTTCAAATCAAATTCAAAATAAAAATTAAATTTAAAAATGTGTATAAATATATTTTAAAAAAAAGACAATTAGAGAACTTTTTCTTTATTCTCGAAGAACAAGGTAACACTATAAGGATAAAAAATCATTAAACCAAATGTACCAAAATTGTTTATTCTATATTAAAGAGTAAGTGATTTCAAAGACTTATAAGATACGCATTAGTAACAAAACCTATAAAAACTTTTGCGAAAGTATAACAAGGGTAAGTTTTGTGATGGAAAAAAATGTAAAACCAACTAATGGAGCATACTCACTAAAAAAAAAAATCCAACAGATTAACGATGCATTATCTCTAGGGTCTTGTTATAGGCATGGTAAAAAAAACGAATGTAAAAATATATTGCTGATCTAAGCAGTTTTTGGAGAGTGATCTACACACTTGGTTCAAGCGTCAAAGTCTGATACAGGTACAAGTCCTTTGATGTTGACATCTTCTGGCTCCTGGGATTTCTAATGCATTTTTCTCCATGCAGCGTTCCTCACTGATGACAGCTTCTTGCCCTCTGGCTAGTGCACATGGAAAGAGTCCGAGCTTACAGACCTGAAAATTATAAACAGGAAGCTTTAGTTTCATGAGTGTCTCAGTTTGTACAAATCAGTTACAACACATTGTAACGTGTACACAAACAGTGTTGTTGTGCACAGTGCTGTATAATTAAGGTCACATGCATACAAGATGTGGATATACTTCCATGCTGGATTTCCCCAAAAACTTTACTCTCAAATACTGAAAGCAAAACTGTTACAGTTTGTTACACTGTGTATACAAGTATAAGTAGGGGTGTGTCGTAATTTTTTTTCACCATTTTGTCTGTAAAGAATTATACACAGAGTGGGTCATGCTTATACCATTAATAAGAAATGGTAAGGGTTAACATTCAAACGAGAAAGAAAAGTATCAAATTATTTACAGAGTCCATTGAAATAAAGCTTCCTTTAACTACTTTATGGGTTAAAGCTTAAAAAGAACCTTTTTATCTTTATTAGCAGATAGTAATATTGGATCCTTTACTTTGTGGTTTTAAATTAAAAACAACATAATGTAAAGCAGATTTAATGATTTAAGATAAATAAGCATATTTTGAAAAGTAATTAATATTTGTAAAAACATTAATAGGATAAATTACAAAATTATTCTTACAAATCTCAATTATCGGATTCTAAAAGTTGTATCTCCAAATGTTTCACCAGTTTAAAAACATATTTATATAATTTGCATAGTATTTATCACTTGAATCCTTTACTTAAAATTTTCTGTATCCTTAGTAAGCCTCAAAAAACAATTAACAAGAGAAACTTTAAAACAACTGATTAAAAAAAACATGATACAAACGGGCAACTAATTGTGTTAGTTTCTAATTTAACACGTAACCACCAGAATTTTACAATCTCAGCACCTTTTAATGTACATAAAAAAAAACAACCAACACAGTGAACAACGTATTAATTAATTAATTAATTAATGAGCTGATGACTGAAACAATCTCTATCTGGGAGAAAGCTGTGAAAAACCAAACCAGCCCTAGCTTTACACCGACGACCCAGCCCCAACAAACAAAGCATGACAAGATGCATATCATAAAGGAGAGAAAAAAATTTAACGGCACACAATGAAAATAGAAAGCTGAAATTCTTATTGACATTTATAAGCAATATCACCAACAAAACTTGAAACAAATGTTAAATTTTTTTTCTTTCAATATTTTAAAATTACAACATTTTGTCCCTCACTTTAAAGACAATTTTCCTCAACATTTCTTTTCTCAAATTATGATGTTTTAAGCTATAAAAATGCTTGACAAGTAACTCAGATTCAAAACTACAATTTAGACGTTTTATAATGAGTAAAATATTTTCTTTGACTGAAAACTAAAGAATTTCTTGATTCAACAGTGTAACAACAGTACGTGGTTAAGAAAACACAGCCAGCACATAATGTAAATACGTAAATACAACTGTTTAACACTGCAATGTTATAATAAAAGTCACTTGCACACGTAGACTATGTGACAACTGGGCAATCAGCAATGACTTACACAGTGATCAGATAGACATTTATTGCATTTGAAAGAAAATTGATAAGAGTAATATGTTATTTTAAAGAGGTTTGAGTTGCATAACAAAGTGCTTCGTTGTATGCCAGAATAGAGCAAAATTTCATTATTAATATTCAATATTTAAATTTTTGAATAAAATTTTTAACTTTATAGAAAACAAAGAAATTAAGTTTATTTTTATGAGCAGAACGGTTATTTATCGTATACAATGTTGACAAGTATTATTATCAACTATTGCACAAACAGTAAGAATTCTATGTAAGGAATATTTTTATTTTTTAAAATTTGCAATAACTTTAAATAAAAACAATGACAGTAAATAATAAATAGTCTGTATATGAAGGAAAAAAAGAAGATTTAGACAGACTTTAATTTTGAATAAAACACATGATAAATGTGTACACAACATGACATTTCACTGTGCTGGACATTGCTGAGTTCATCAACAAATTGTGATCTCAGATATGGTAATTGCTCAGCCTACAGCATTTGCACCCCTACGCACAAGAGTGGGGAGGATATGTTTTTTTTTTAAATTTAGAAGTTGTGTGTGAAAGTGCATAAAAGTAATTAGGAATCAGTTATTTTTATGTGTGCCACATGGCATTGTACGTCACTGTATATGAGTCACTATAAGTCAATATGTACAACTGCAAAATACTGGAAGTTACAGGGATTATGTGTACAACTGCAATATAATCGCAAGGATTATGTTTACAACTGTATGATAGCCACAAGGATTATGTGAACACTGTAATATAGCCACAAGATTATGTGTATAACCATACAAAAAACATGAAGAGTCACATATATAGCTGGAGAAGAGCCTGCATGATAATGTGAACAACTGCGATACTGATGAGGGAAACACTGAAAAATTTGCTAAGCAGAAAAAAACAACACATCCAATCACCGTGTGCCCTTATATTGTTCTTTCTGCTGAATTCTGTTCAGTACTGACTGCAGGCTAATGTTTAGAGGTGCTGTGGGTGGGAATATATAAAACATGGAATCACTATTGTGATTTCTTTTAATAACAAAAATTTAATTTTTGATGTAGTAATGATTATTAAAACTGATAATGTATTGAAAAACATACTTTGGGTGAAAAAAAAACCTTATATTCAGAGATTGAAGTTTCAAAACTAATTTTAACATAAAAACTTAAGTAAGACCAGGTACATAAAAAATTTTGCCTGTTAGAGTTTTTAAAAAAATATTTCAGAGAAATTAAAGTTTTAAAAATCACAAATGAAACAAAATATTAGTTCCATAAGCTAGATAAATCTACTTCTTATTAAGCTCCAAAAAACATGAATTAATGCTAGGAAATATATTTCTGACTTAAATAGATGTTATTAATGTCCCACTGCAAATTAAAGAGATGTCGACTGCTGAACAGTGAGTGCTTCGTAAAGATACAGTAGCCAAACAATCTACACTATGAGAATATCCTCACTAAACATCTAATTTAGAAGCTGAAATAGCCACACCAAAACAACTTGAATGTTAAAAAGTTAAAAAAAAGAAATCAACAACCCAGCTCAAAACAGAAAGTAATATGGGGAAATACAAAACATTAACTCTGAAAGAAAATAAAGTGATTAAAATAAAAACCTCAATCTCTTAGGCCACATCACTGAAACAAAGAATAAAAAGAGAAGGAAAGTAATGCTAACTTAAAATAATTTAAATCCTTTACCATGAATTCTAGGCAAAATCATAAGGCAATTTAAAATAAAAATTGTTTTAGACAAATAATGATTTAGAGATTTTAAAAAACTGCTTAGAAAATAATTAGGGGCAGATTGAACTTAAATTATAGAGTTTTGTCTATTCTTAAAATTTAAAGAGTTAAAAAATTTTAATCAATAAAATGAGTGCACTCTCTGTACTAAAGCCATTGAAGATTATAATAAAATAAAACCAAGGGAGAAATGGACAAAAAACATGAAATGGCAAGTTATATAGCACGTTCAAATATTTTTATTGAAAACTAGATCAGATGTGATTATCCTAAAATATTAGTGGAGACTTGATTGACAAGTTTTACTTTAAATGTGGGGATTTTATCTACAAGTTTTACTGTAATAGTGGGGATTTTATCGACAAGTTTTACTGTAAATTATGGGGATTTTATTGACAAATTTTACAGCAACAGTGGGGATTTTATCGACAAGTTTTACTGTAAATTATGGGGATTTTATCGACAAGTTACTGTAAATGAGAAGATTGAACGATCTCAGCTTGACTGACCTGGGTTGGGGGTGGTGGGGTCAGTCTGCAGCATGCTGCTGTACATGTTGACCACCACAATCAGGCAGCACAGGATGATTGGTCCAATAATTGCCCCCTCAAGCCCCATGAACAAGATGCCCCCAGCGATGGCCAGGCCTGTGACGTAGGGGTGACCCCTGACAAAGGGAGACAAATGGAGGATTATACATCTGAACTGACAAACTAAACAAATTTTATACATCTGAACTGTGTCAAACTAAACAAACTTTATATATTTAGACAGTAATTAACTAAACAAACATTATATATCTAAACTGTGATAACTTACAAAAAATTGTTTAAATTATTAAAACAGTTCATACAGTTCTCTATTTATTACAAGCAATGTTAAAATAAAGAGTCATACATTTTTTAAAAAAATAAACTAAAGCAGAGTGTATATTAATCCAGTATATTTTTTCTTAAGCCAGCATTAAAAAGTACAACTTGGTTAAAATAACTAATGTTCATAATGCAAAAAAAAAAAAAAAAAAAAAAAAACTGAACAAAAATAATTAATATACGCTCCAATCATTATTTTACATGGCAGAAGGTTACATAAAGCCAACAATTTTTTTACTCAATCCTTCGTTGACAGGTGCCAGAGAGTAAAATAATAATGGCAGCGATGCCAGACTTACCCCTCTCTGTAGATTGCTGTGTCCACCACATACCCTGGCATCATGTGTGCCACTAACAAGAGAGCATTGACAGACTTACCCCTCTATCTCTCTGTAGATTGCTGTGTCCACCACATAAGCTGGCATCATGTGTGTCACTAACAACAAGAGAGCATTGACAGACTTACCCCTCTATCTCTCTGTAGATTGCTGTGTCCACCACATAAGCTGACATCATGTGTGCCACTAACAACAAGAGAGCATTGACAGACTTACCCCTCTATCTCTCTGTAGATTGCTGTGTCCACCACATACCCTGGCATCATGTGTGCCACTAACAACAAGAGAGCATTGACAGACTTACCCCTCTATCTCTCTGTAGATTGCTGTGTCCACCACATAAGCTGGCATCATGTGTGCCACTAACAACAAGAGAGCATTGACAGACTTACCCCTCTATCTCTCTGTAGATTGCTGTGTCCACCACATAAGCTGGCATCATGTGTGCCACTAACAACAAGAGAGCATTGACAGACTTACCCCTCTATCTCTCTGTAGATTGCTGTGTCCACCACATAAGCTGGCATCATGTGTGCCACTAACAACAAGAGAGCATTGACAGACTTACCCCTCTATCTCTCTGTAGATTGCTGTGTCCACCACATAAGCTGGCATCATGTGTGCCACTAACAACAAGAGAGCATTGCCAGACTTACCCCTCTATCTCTCTGTAGATTGCTGTGTCCACCACATACCCTGGCATCATGTGTGTCACTAACAACAAGAGAGCATTGACAGACTTACCCCTCTATCTCTCTGTAGATTGCTGTGTCCACCACATACGCTGGCATCATGTGTGTCACTAACAACAAGAGAGCATTGCCAGACTTACCCCTCTATCTCTCTGTAGATTGCTGTGTCCACCACATACGCTGGCATCATGTGTGCCACAAACAGCAAGAGAGCGTTGAGACCTTGACCCTTGACTAGCCAAAGGTCAATGACAGCCGGCACAGCCGCCCAATAGGGTCCAAGGAATGGGATGGCTGCAAACACAGCAGCTAGAGCTGGGTTGTGTCAGGGAAAGAGAAAAAAAAATTATTTAACTTACACACTTTTAAAACTAATCTACAAATAATTTAGTTAATAGTTGCTTTTTACATTTGATTAAGACAATACATATGAATATTAAACAGAAAAGAATTCATAAAATTCTGAAGGAACAAAAACTAAATATAATATTGCAAACTAAGCTATTGTTAGAATGATTGTAAAAAAATATTATGAATAATAAAATTAGCTCTATCCTCTTCACCTAAAAATTATTAAAATAATTCTTAGTTTTAAGAGATGAAAAATTAACAGGCTGTTTAAATTATTTTTTATTCAATTGGTTTAGTCATGGCTGGCTTTCTCAAAATAAATTTAAAAAAACAAAACAAAACAAAAAAGCAAATCAAAGATTATTTTTAAACAGATTCTCATTTAATGTTATTTCTCAGATTCTCAATAGTTTTAATGTCACTCACTTGGTGTGTGAAAGAACATAATGTACCTGAGGGGATAAAAATAATATCCAGGCCAAATACGAGATGAATGAGCCAGGTGTATAATCCATAGAATGTGGCCATTTTCAAAGATGCTTTGAAGACACCACTGAAAATGCATTTATTCAGGATTAAAAATTTGGTTCAAGTTTGTAAAAAAATCTGGCAACTATATAATAGTTGACAAAAATGTTTTGGATGACATGTCTCTGTTATAAACCTTAATGAAATGCGTCTCTGATATAAACCTTAATGAAATGCCTATTTCAACAAAAATAAAATAGAAATAAAACAAAAAAGACATGTAAATCTAACCTGATGGCTTTTTCAACAGCTTGACCAAAACGGTTGCCAGTAGAGCCAGGACTCATGTTACAGAAAAGTTCAGCAGGTTTGTACATCTCTCCACTAGAGGCCAGCAGGTAGAATAGGGTGGTCAGGAAAATTATCTGGACAGGTAGAATAGGGTGGGCAGGTAAATTATCTGGACAGGTAGAATAGGGTGGTCAGGTAAATTATCTGGACAGGTAGAATAGGGTGGTCAGGTAGAATAGGGTGGTCAGGTAAATTATCTGGACAGGTAGAATAGGGTGGTCAGATAAATTATCTGGACAGGTAGAATAGGGTGGTCAGGTAAATTATCTGGACAGGTAGAACAGGGTGGTCAGGTAGAATAGGGTGGTCAGGTAAATTATCTGGACAGGTAGAATAGGGTGGTCAGATAAATTATCTGGACAGGTAGAATAGGTTGGTCAGGTAAATTATCTGGACAGGTAGAATAGGGTGGTCAATATAACATGAAATCATACAGCTATCCTAATAACATTAACAATCCACATTGTTTTGAGGAAATGTAGTCTTAAAAATAATCATATTGAGGAAAAGGAGAGTTATAAAATAGCTGTTTTAAAAAAATCTTGTGGAATATATAAAATAAATTGCACGTTGCAGAAATTTCAGACAGTAAGATTTTTAGCCCTGCTGGTAAACAAATAAAATAAATCTATTAATAAAGTGCACTACAAGGTCCTGTTTTTTTTATACCAGTTTTGATTTTGCTTCACATATTGTAATTACTTTACAATACAATCAGTAAGTTGAGATTTTTTAAAATAATTGCTTAATCCAATTGGAAATTTATTTGTCTTCCTGTGTTGGAGAGTTAAAAGTTACCACTATCTGCTACAGTGACTTACAGCCGAAATGACGAAATTTAAAATAGCCGTGCCCCCTCCCAGCAGGGCGGACACAATGGAGGTGATGACGGTCATCAGGAGGGACATGTTCCCTTTCAGCACGGCCCACACTGATTCCAGGACCTACAAGATACAGAGCACGTTGTTAACTTGTTATATAATTGGTTAAATATTTTGGTACGGCCCACACTGATTCCAGGACCTACAAGATACAGAGCACGTTGTTAACTTGTTATATAATTGGTTAAATATTTTGGTACAGCCCACACTGATTCCAGGACCTACAAGATACAGAGATCGTTGTGGGTTAACTTGTTATACAACTGATTAAATATTTTGGTACAGCTCACACTGATTCCAGGACCTACAAGATACAGAGATCGTTGTTGGTTAACTTGTTATACAACTGATTAAATATTTTGGTACAGCCCACACTGATTCCAGGACCTACAAGATACAGAGATCGTTGTTGGTTAACTTGTTATACAATTGATTAAATAATTTGGTACAGCCCACACTGATTCCAGGACCTACAGGATACAGAGATCGTTGTTGGTTAACTTGTTATACAACTGATTAAACATTTTGGTACAGCCCACACTGATTCCAGGACCTACAAGATACAGAGATTGTTGTTGGTTAACTTGTTATATAACTGATTAAATATTTTGGTACAGCCCACACTGATTCCAGGACCTACAAGATACAGAGATCGTTGTTGGTTAACTTGTTATATAACTGATTAAACATTTTGGTACAGCCCACACTGATTCCAGGACATACAAAATACACGTTGTTGGTTAACTTATTATATAACTGATTAAACATTTTGGTACAGCTCACACTGATTCCAGGACCTACAAAATACACGTTGTTGGTTAACTTATTATATAACTGATTAAATATTTTGGTACAGCTCACACTGATTAAAGGACAAAAATGATCAAATACAAAGGAAATTACTGAAGATGATAAACAAGTAGATTTTAAAAAAAAATAATATTTGTGAACAAACCAAACATTTAGCCACATGTACAGGAGTTCTAAAATATTTTGAACAGTACAAACTAAAAAAAAATATAGGACTATAATTTAAAAAAAAGATATGTAGTTAACCATAAAAAAAAGCCTGCACTTTTACCCAAAGAAATAAGTATAATTATAAATTAACATATCCCAAGTAAAAAAATATAAAACTTTATTATTTCCACAGCACGTTAATTATAAAGCATTTTATACATTTTATATAATTCCTCAGAACATCTTTGTAAGTTATACTTTGTTAATAGCTCCTCAGAGCATTTTAATAAGTTATACTTTTTAGATAGTTCATTAGATCATCTTTACATGTATATTTGGTTAGTTCACCAGCCCATGTTTACATTTGTTTACTCAGTCGCCAGCGCCTTACCGACATAAATATGCCTAAATTGACCTTGACAAACTCAATGGCATGTTTACATTTGTTTACTCAGTTGCCAGCGCCTTACCGACATAAATATGCCTAAATTGGCCTTGACAAACTCTACGGCATATTTACATTTGTTTACTCAGTCGCCAGCGCCTTACCGACATAAACATGCCTAAATTGGCCTTGACAAACTCTACGGCATATTTACATTTGTTTACTCAGTCGCCAGTGCCTTACCGACATAAACATGCCTAAATTGGCCTTGACAAACTCAACCGCATGCTTACATTTGTTTACTCAGTCGCCAGCGCCTTACCGACATAAACATGCCTAAATTGGCCTTGACAAACTCTACTGCAGCTGAGATCTGCAGCATGTCCTTGACCCTGTAGAACATGGACATCAGCGTGTCCATGTCCGAGGGCAGCACGGGTTGAGAGCTGGACGTCTGGTTGCGCTGAGGAACAGAAGACATCAAACACTGGTGTTAAACAGGGCTCTAAGTGTACTGAGGAGCAGACATTAGTCACTGGTGTTAAATAGGGCTCTAGTGAAGAGCAGACATTAGTCACTGGTTTTAAAATAAGGTTCAACGTGTAATGGACTTAATGTGTTATGTCAAAGCAATGTACAATAGCTGTGCAAGATTGTTTAGTATGAAAGATTATGAGTAGCATGTGAAGATTATATGTAGTGTGTCAGATTATATGTAGTGTGTCAGATTATATGTAGTGTGTCAGATTATATGTAGTGTGTCAGATTATAGGTAGTGTGTCAGGTTATAGGTAGTGTGTCATAATATATGTAGTGTGTCAGATTAAATGTAGTGTGTCAGATTGTATGTGGTGTGTCAGATTAAAAATGTAGTGTGTCAGAATATATGTAATGTAAAACAAAATTCAGGCACACATTGATCCTGAAAAAATTACAGCCAGCAAATTTGGGAGTAACTTTTAATTCCCCCCCCCCCCCCCCAAGATTATCAAATCAATTAAATTAATTTAGTTTTCTGGAAGTAATTATCAATGCAAATCAAAAGTTTGGGTCATAATAAAAACAAACAAAGCAATATTCATTAAATATATATGCAAATAAAACTTGTACAAGAATTCTATCGGCTTTAGTTTTGCATTACATGTTAACAATGGTGATTGATAAAACAAATTCTATCATTATTTTATCACTAGTTTCTGTCAATATGCTAGGTGAGTGTTTGATTTAATGATAGAAATTCCCTTAGTGCAAGCTTTTATCCTACCTTCTCATTCATGGTCAACATGGAGGCGTAGAGCTTGTCCCACACGTCCAGTACCTGGTTGACCACATTGTCCTTTTCTTCATCTGAGCCATCCACAGGTAGAAACTCATGGACCTGGTGGGTAGACAAACACCTGAGTTTAGTGACACAGACAGGTAGTGGTGATACAGCTAAGTAGTGGTGACACAAATAAATGGTGACACAGCTAGGTAGTGGTGACATGGCTAGGTAGTGGTGACATGGCTAGGTAGTGGTGACATGGCTAGGTAGTGGTGACATGGCTAAGTAGTGGTGACATGGCTAGGTAGTGGTGACATGGCTAGGTAGTGGTGACATGGCTAAGTAATGGTGACATGGCTAAGTAGTGGTGACATGGCTAGGTAGTGGTGACATAGCTAGGGAGTGGTGACATGGCTAGGTAGTGGTGACATGGCTAGGTAGTGGTGACATGGCTAGGTAGTGGTGACATGGCTAGGTAGTGGTGACACAGCTAGGTAGTGGTGACATGGCTAGGTAGTGGTGACATGGCTAGGTAGTGGTGACACAGCTAGGTAGTGGTGACATGGCTAGGTAGTAGTGACATGGCTAGGTAGTGGTGACATGGCTAGGTAGTGGTGACATGGTTAGGTAGTGGTGACACAGCTAGGTAGTGGTGACACAAATAAATGGTGACACTATTTTGGTAGTGGTAGTACTAATAGGGATGAATGGTGACGCATGTTGGTGATGGTGATACAATTAAACATTGATAGTATGGCAGTAGTGGTACTAATAGAAAAATGGTGACACAAAATAATGACACAGTATTACAGTAGTGGTGATACAAACACAGGGCAAAAAGTTAAGAGATAAAAATAAGCAGTGAGCAGCACTGGTGACAGGCATAAATTTGCAGTCAAGTGGTGACACAAACACAGAGTGACATGACTTTAAACTGCTCATCTACCTAACAATGAACAAAATGTCACCATCAAACATGACACCACCTTACTTTGTTTGAAATAAAATTTCTTCCATGCTCGTGTGTCTTCTGTAGCACCTGATCCATTGTTTTCTTCAGTTCCTCAGCATTGGGCATCCATCTGTTGACAAAACAAAAACAACCACCATCTTGGTGCTCAGAGCCATAAACAAGTGTCAAGGACGGTCCAAACGTAACACTTTCTAAATACAACTGAAACATTTGAAAACTGTGTACACGTTACTACTTGCGCAAAGCAGAGGCGTAGCGAAGGGGGGCAGCATATGTCCCCGGGCGCCGAACTTAGGGGGCGCCAAAATGGGGGGGGGGGTGTCCTCAGGCGCCGGGAAGGGTCGATACGCCTCTGGCGCAAAGTAAATTTGTTGTATTTTCATCTAGTATTAATTGTATAGTCCAAGTATTCAAACTTATAAGTATGGTAGCTTGTTATGCCAAGATCATTACATACACTAAAAAAATAATTGGTAATTTAGTTTGGGAGGGTGTAATGTAAAGTAGTTATGGTTGGCTGGATATTAGGAGGGTGTAATGTAGTTATGGTTGGCTGGACATTGGGAGGGTGTAATGTAGTTATGGTTGGCTGGACATTGGGAGGGTGTAATGTAAAGTAGTGAGTGTGACTATGAGAGGTGTAATGTATGTAAAGTAGTGTCTGTAGGTGTAACATTGTGATAGGACTTACTCTGAGAGCTCTGAGTTGACTGTGTTGTTGAGGACATTCTGTGTGGTTGTTATCATATACATGCTCTCTCTCTGGATCTGTCAACAAAGTTGATCGGATTGTAAGGACAGATCATGGTGAATACAAGACAATCAGCTCATGGTGAATGTATTGTAAAGACAAGACAATCAGCTCGTTAACAAATGATAGTTAAATTACGAGTCTTCTAACATTTAAACTATGATTGATGTCTCAGTACATCAATATCAGCGCCATTCCCTTTCAAGTGTCACTAATAATAAAGGTCAATAAATAAAATTTAAAAAATAACCTAGCTACACTTAAAAGACCATTGAATACTAGATCACTACCCAAAAGTCTTGCAGTTGAATCAGTGATTCAAGCTAGTCCACCCATCTCTGATGAATGGCTGAACACTTTCCTTTCATACGCAAAGGTAACAGATGAACTCTACTTCATACATCCTAGGGATAGTCTGGTCTATTTGGATACTATATTTCTTTTTACACTTATGTCTTTTCAAGGAAAAGATCGCATGCTTACATAACATTAAAAGATAGTGCATCCAGCATTTTGCCTACTATTTTCAAATCTACAACAAAATTATTACCCACACAACTTATACACTCATTATTAAAGTTCTTTTGATTTCACATGAACAGCACCTTGTTCATTTTTATCTCGCTGACACCTGACAAAAAGGTATGACAATTTCTGATCTCACCTGAACAGCACCAATGATGGAGAAGAGAAATGTCCCAACCAACAACATCAGAATAAACAAAATACTCGTGGCCTGGTCCAACCCTTGTTCTAGGATTGAGATGATCTAAAAGTTGGGAAGAAATCAAATTATCAATCAATTATCCAGAATAATTGCATCTTCAAGCTTTGAATTTACTGTTCATCTTCAATTATGGAGGTATTTTTTGTGAGCCCATATCACCATCAACAAACATTGGAGATCAGAGTACTTAAGGTTTTTTAGAACAAAATGCCAGGAAGCTGTAGTATTATTACAGATATAGCCTTATTACTAAAATTATGATAAGACACAATGGGCATCTACTTCTGGGATTAGAATTATGAGTTAATTTTTTTTTTTAATTGAGATAGCACTCTTCACATATTTAAATTATCTTCAACAGTAACCATTTTGGTTCAAGCAATTTCTTAAAAGTTGGACATAATTAAGTAGTAGCGATATTTTACCATGATATGACACAAATACTTTCAACACTAAAATGTGAAGCATCAAATACACGTGCTTATTTTGACATTGGATTAACACAGGCATTAAAAAATAAATACAAACCTTTCTATCCCCTTTTGAAAGAAGGGAGCCGAGGCCTCTGAGACACTGTGGCATCAGAGCTTGTTGTCGAGTTTCAAACCACTGGGAAATACTGGCCTTGGCATTTTGAGCAGTGCCATGTAGCATACCATTGGGCTTAAACTGTTGAACTGTGGGACAAAACAGTGTCTCATTTTACCATCAACATGTGAATCATAGCTCAATTCGGCAGCAAATATTGTTTAATTTTATTTATTTTTATAGTATCTTGGCAACCAATGATGAGTTTTGTCAAAATACTTTTTCACATTTTTAACACTCGAAGTGAATAAAACTCATTTCAATTCTTTTGTTTTATACTTATTTAAATTATTTTACCTATTTTCTTGAAACCGACATGCAAAAGTGGCAGCATAAAAAGAAGGGAAATAATCCAGAGATGCATCCACAGACGAACTATAACATGCCCCCACAGCAGGGCTGTGAAGCTCTGGTCCACAATAGACTTGGGAGGGGGCGTGTCTCCAGCAGGGGACTTGACACTGGGGTCAGCTTTAGCTTTAGGCGCAGGAGATCCCTCTGTTTTCTTTACATTTAAGGGATGACAACAATTCAAATCAATAAATTTTATAAACAATTGCTGTCAATACTAAATTGAGTCAAACAAAAAATATAATATATACAAATGCCTATATATATATATATATATATATATATATTTAAATAAATAAATAAATAAATAAATAAATAAAAAAAAAAAATATATATATATATATATATATATATATATATATATATATATATATATATATATATATATATATATATATATATATATATAAAATGTTTTTGGGTGTTAAGAGCAAACAGTTTTATGCACACATGCTGAAAGCTTCATGAAATTAGAAAAGTTTTAAACCATTTCTTTCAAAAATGTGCAATTATTATCATGCTAATTTTAAAAGTATTTTTTTAAATTATTATATTAAAATATTTAGACAGTGACAGTAATGGTGAAAGAGGAGTCCAAAATGCAAATAGATACTCACAATAGGATGGACATGAGGGTCAGGCCTAGCAGGTAGATTAAGTGTTAGAGGCTTTGGTGCAGGTAAAGTTTCTGGGGGTCGGACTATTGGGCTTTCTTCTAGCGTCGCAGTTTTGGTTTCTACCTTGGTTGCCTAATTATTTTACAATCAGTCATAATTAGAGAACTGGCTTTTTCTTATGGAAAAACTAAACACTATGTTATTTAAATATTCATGGTTATTGTAAAATTATTTAAATCTTGAAAGATGAAATTGCTAGGAATGTGAGCTACAGAAGAAAGTAAAGCCACTCTGTATTTAATATATCATGCAAGGTTGAAATAGAGAGCATTGTGATTGGTATAGCACAAAGCAAATAAATTTTAGATAAACATGATGCAATATTTATACTTCTAGACTCCATAACTAGTTGCAATATAAAGTTTGCTTACTAATTATATACATATTTATAACTAACTTAATCCTTTAAACATACGATTAGCCTTGACTAAAAAAATATTGACTGATTTAATGACTTATATTTAATGACTTAATTACTTATATCAATCTTTAAATTTATACTAATTCTTTTCTAACACTATTAAAACAAATGAATTTCTGATCTGTAATTTAAAAAAGTTAACCATGAACATCACATGTCCACAGGATAACTCACGCCATCTTTCTCCCCGTCTGGTGTGGAGTTAGAGTCCTTTGATAGCCCAACAGCTGCAGCTATGACTGAACAGAATGATGGACTTTTCTGTCCCCCAGATGCTGATTCTGTGGAGAAACACAACAAGCTTTAAGAAGTAACTGTCATCAGCATGGCTATCAATTTGTAAACATTAACACGTTTTAAGTTGAAACCTAAGCAAATTTAACACAAATAACTAGTGGAAAAAAGGGCATACATACATTTTAGGAACATTACAGACTAAAAATATGTATGTGGAGAAGGGAAAACAGCATGGTTGTTTCCAGATCAGCATGATTGCTAAAGATAATACTGATTTATTCCATCTAGAAATACTGCCCCTAATTACAATTAACATTTCAACATGGCTATAAATTTTTTTGAATGTGTGTAGCAACAGCCTAAAAAGTTAGATTTAACCCCATTAGGAGATAACATAGTCACATGAAAAAATATTACGACCACATATTTAAAGAAGCTCCATGGACTCTCTGCTGAAAAGCTTGGTAAGAAATATAGTTTGTACAATTTATGAAGTAGCAACATGAGACAGAACACTCATAAGTATAAAAAGAACTTCAAGACCTAACCTCTAACACTAAAATACTGGAGCTATAAATAGTATAAACAATTATTAATTTGTAATAACAGTATATGTTACTCACTACTCTAGAAATAATTTTCTCATTGAAGTGATACATCGTTGAAACCAAAAATTACCTGGAGTTTCTGACGGCCCCATCTGTACAACAACCCCTGCCACCATCACAATGACCATGAAAAAAAACAGCGGCACCTTCAAGGGACCAGCAATGTTGGCTAAATGCAGCAAGACAGAGACCCAGACTGGTGCAGACATCCAGCGCAGCCATGTTGATTCTGGTTTCCAGAGAAAGATCACACAGAGTAGGTGACCTACAAGTAGGGTCCACACCTGAAAAATAAGTGAAATACTTTTTTTTTTCGAGAATTAAAATATTTAAAAAAAGCACCTTAGAGATAGATTCACAGCATACATTTCAACAGATGATCATTCTGGTTGAATTGTATGGGTAAATCAATACTGTAATGAAGTGAAAAACATCAAACATAGGAGGTCAACCATTATTAATTAATATTAATAATTAAATCATCTTAAATGATATTTTTTTTTACCACCACAACTCCCCATCATTGTAAACAACCCCCCCCCCCCCCTTCCTAATCACTTGTATTAGAACATATATGAGCTTCATGGAGCTAGGGTTCTTTATAGTTGCTTTTATATTTCACACTGAAGCAACAGACAATGATAATACAATACTTTCGGGTTTATGGTTTGGCTCTGGTTTGAATGTTTCAAAATAGATTTTGTATGATTAAACATATAAATATGCAGAAGTGAAGAAACAGCTAACAGGCACGTACCCAATAATATTTATGCGTACCATGTTTGTTTTGTTTGGGTTGAAGTATACAGTTTATAAAGATTTGAATATGGATGATTAATAGTCCTGTTAGAACATCCCTTAACCCACCCACCTTTGATAGATATCTGACTCTACTAGTAGTCGGGCATGGTATGGCAGTTAGGCAGAGTAGTGACAACAATCTATATATATAATTCTATATTAATAAGTCACTCAACCATGCAGGACACCACCACGCACGCAGACTCTCTAATCCTCCTCCCATCACCTCTCTCGCTCTCCAGGCATGCGCAACAGACCATATTGCTATCACCCTCGCCAGTCTGGTAAATTAGTGATGGCTATTTTTATAAAGTGTGGCCTAGCTACCAATAACACTAAAGGCGAGTCGGTAAAACCTTAGTTTAGCGTCGGTTATTATTCCGGAATCGTATAGCAGTAAAAAACAGTAAAACAATGCCAAAGTCTGTCACACACTTCCGGAATTCACCGGAAGTACTGTAAACCATACTTTAATTGGCGTCATCTTTTATTTTTATACAGAATGTTTAAAATTTGGATAGATTTATTTTTGTAATCATTTTTACATTTTGTAATCATTTTTACATTTTGTAATCATTTTTACTATTTTCGTAATCTAGATTTTTTTTACTTGGCCTAGCAGCTAGATATCTAGCTAGATCTAGATATAATTAATTAATGGTCGCAAATCAGCTGCAAGCCAAAAACATTAAATTATTACATTTGACTTCATTATTTATATTAATAAATATTTTTTTTAGATCTACTAATTTAAATCTACTATTATATTTATTCTTGTTTCCTTTTGTTGATTAAACTTAAAAAATTAAAACATTAATTTACTACAATCGACTTTCAATTTATTTATATTTTAATGGTCAAATAAAACATGGTTTACCGTAACTCTAGTTACCGAAACTCAACAAACATTACCCGATAATTTCCGACGCTAAACTAAGGTTTTACCGGCGAGTCAAGAATCTTTTTCCGAGTAGTCACTTCATAACACAAAACATGACTCAATAAAAAAGGCAAATAACAGCTTACCCAGTAAGAATTAAAATACTCCACAAAATCGTACAGAAAATTTAGAAAACTGCAGAGAATATCAAACAAATAGCTCAGTGGAATGAAGTGATATAAAATATACATTGCTGAAATCGCGAAGGCGATTCCAAACAATAGCTTGATATTGGCCCATATCATCATAGTCATGGACTCAGCTAAAGTATTTGCAATTTTCAACGGGAGAAGTATCATTCCAACAGCAAAAGGTGTCCCTGAATCTTGTAAACCTTTCAGCCATTGTCGTAGTACGTTCGTTAGACTGCGTTTGAAAGGGTACAAGAAATTTCCGCATAACAGAGCCCAGTACAAGGGTCTAATAAATGGAGCAAGGATGAAATAGACTGCAACAGAAACTGCCCCTGCTAAAACGATAAATATATTAGCAATTGTGTTGTAAAAAGCTTGCTTCAGGGGTTTTTCGTGGCCCTGCGGAAGGTACTGCCACACATTATTCAAGTATTCAAGGGATGGGGTAGACATCTTGGTTGTTGTACAATGTTGACATGTGTCACGTGACTAATATATTTTTAAGAATAAAAGACATCGGCTAATAATAGAGTTACAAAACAAGACAGGGGGAAGCTAACGTTTTACGGATATATACACGTACTTAAAATTGTATATTTCATATGATGTATTTTAAATTAAAAGAAAACAGTACATTGCCATATAAGATTTATTTTATATTTTTTTATTGAAAGTTATTTTGTCTTAGGTAATCAAATAATATGTTAGGCCTAATTAGTATTTTTATTAAAGCTGTTGCTATGCTCTGAAATGTGTTTTTAAATTATCTAGTAAACAAATTTTCCTTTACTAGAAAATCCCAAAATTTTCTTACAAAATTCAACTAACATCGTTTAGTCTAGACAAGTTAGATCTAGATCTACTAGTTAAGTTAATCCTAGATTTAAAAAAAAAATAGATTAGATCTCTCTAGTTAACTCTAGTAAACTAGTATCTATACGAATGGGAAACGCATTTACTGGTAAGTTAACTTAAACTTAATTTTATAATGTCTTAAAGTTAAAGCCCAGGCCTAGATTCTAGTAGAATTAGAAAGTTGAAAGTAGAATCTAGATCTAGATCTAGAATCTAGAGTAGAGAATCTAGACTAAGAGTAGATTCTCTAGATCTAGATCTTCTAAACTTAAGCCTTAAGCTGACCCCAGCAGCTGCCCAGGCGTATCCAGTGTTTCTTCCAGGCTTTTTTCTCAGGGAAGGGGGGTGGGGCACTTGAAGAGATGCCAGGAAGAAACTGGTTGTTTTACTTTCTACTTTTCAGTACGTCATTGTTAGTGAATTGGTCACTACCCTCCCTTCCACCCCCCCCCCCCCCACCTCACCACAGTGAAAGCAGCTGTCCGTGTTGACAGTTTACGGATGACAATGAAAAGATCAAGCAGAACTTATTACCTCCCCTTAGTTTCAAATAGTTTAAAAGCTAAATTATCTGCCCCTTATAGCTGGCTCTATGATTGTAAACATTCGAGGTGAACCTTAGCTCACCAGAATGGTGGGAGTGGGGGTGGTAGCTATATGTCTAGAAAGCGCGAGAGTAACGGCGTGCATTTACATGGTGGTGTATCACATGGCCCCATGAAGAGAACTATATATAGAAATTCTATATAGATTATTTTGAATTTTCAATATGAAACAAATTAAAGTATTATAGGCCTATAAGGTTTGACTGATCATGGAACATTGTAAATAAATGAAAGCTAGGATTGGTCTCTTTCCGCTGGCATCATTACAAAGGCTATAATTTTGAAAAGTAGGTCAAGTAACACTCTACTTCTCCTACTAGCCTACCAAGATCTAATATCTAGGTCAAATTCATTTTATTCTTAAAATAAATTGAAGTTGAATAATTGAATAAAGCAACTTTTTTTTTTAATTTTAGGTTTTGCGCAACCTAAGAAAGCAAAAAGAAAATTGTTAATAGACGAAGAAGGTAAGTTTTCTTGTGTAAGACAGTAGGTTTCTAATAGTTGAATAGTCTATATAAATATAGCAAATATTTGGCCCTACATGGATTGACACTCATTCCATTTATTTTATCTGATTTATTGTGCATTAGTGTACTGGATCTATCCACTATAGTATAACTATAGGTGGATATTTATAATAAACCACAGCCATTTTACTGAATTTTCAGCGCAACAGTGATCACTTTAGAAATATGTATATTAGCCTAATATAAATAAGAAACCGACCCGCTGCGTAGCAAACACTACTATTTAGTGATGGGTGAAGACTTCCTGAAAGACAGTTGTCCAAATGGGGTGGGTGGGTACACACTGTTGAGCATGCCTGGAGAGTGAGGGAGGGGGCGGGATGGAGGGTGTCAGCATGCGTGCGTGGTATCCCCCATGGTTGGCGACGTAGAAAATTATATATAGAGATTACAGTTGCCAAGAAAATTCACAAGAAAACAACATGACTGTGTTTTTCCAGCAGTATCTTGCGAGGTACTTCCTCTATTTGTTCCATACTAGAGGTGTACCAAATTGTTTTATAATACATTGATTTACATTTTTTCATACATACTTAAATAGTTCTTTCACATTGTAAGTCAATGTCTTTCTTTATTTGCATATTTCAAAATTATACAGATCATAGTCTCAATTAAAAATTAAATGATAGGTTTTTTAATGAGGGGTTTCCCTTATATATTAACACTTTACCAATATTTGCTTTACCTTTCTATATTACATCACCAAAAAAAACCAGACACCCCATACTCTAAATATCCATCACAATGTTTCAACTATCTTCACAATCATAATTTTACAAAAATTATGATTTTTAAAAATTATCTCACAAAAAATGTGAATGTTACATTTTTTGACCTTCTTACCCATGTAGCTAATGGTCTCAAAGTTGTAAAGATGTGCTTTTAAGATTGAAGTGTATCAACAGTAATTTTGTCAACCACAACTTTATGATATATCCATCATCAGAAAAAAATACGTTTATGTGACTTTAATTACCTACTTTTTTTGTTTTAGATATTCTTGAAGAAAACAACGAAAGTGGTTTAGAAAAATGCAATTGTATGAGACTAGAAGAAGAGAATGGTCCCAGCTCAAAGCCCAATTTCATCCCTGTCAATGAGTTTACTGAAGCGGATTTGCCTGGGCCCATCCGGAACAGCTCTGTGACAGAATACATCAGACAGCAGGAGAAGCTTGTTGTTCATCTGTATGTCCAGAGGGACAAACCTGATGGGAAACCAAAGGGGAATTCTGGGACAGGTTTTGTGTGGACCTGTAAGGATAACATGGAAGTCTTTGATGTTTGCCCGGCTGAAAAATGCCGGGATAAGTATCCGCACAAAGGATATGGCGGGCTGCTTGTTTACACTAATCACCATGTTGTGAGGGATGACAAGGAGGCAGCCACGTGTGAAGTAACGTTTTTTTATAACTCTGGTTCTTTTATTGTCGTGGAAGATTTCAGCTGTACTCCTGTGTCTGAGCATGTTCCAACGGAGAACTTAACTGGTTCTTTGTCTAGCAAAAACTGCAGTTCTGCGCCTGATTCGAAAATATTAAACACCGTTGAGAAACCTGCAAATACACTCGGAACAAAACCTGTCAGGGCTTATGGCCTGAATTTAAGGGAATGTGAGGAAAACAAAGATCTGGTAGGTTTGAAAATAATTTACCATGACCCTGAACTATTTGACATGGTGCGGGGTGCCAGCAAAACAAATTTGTTGTCGAAGATCCCGAACCAGATCAAGGTAAACTGGAAAAAATTTGCCATTGTTATATCACACCCACACGGAGGGTCAAAGGTCATAAGTGTCGGAGATCTTGTTGCTTTGGAGGAAGAAGATGATGGCGTTGACAGACCTCGCAGAACAACAAAATACACAGCCTCCACATGTAATGGCAGCTCAGGTGCACCTGTGTTTACTGGTAGCTACTCATATAGGCCATTCACGCACCGAGGGAAATATAAAGGGTACAACGTATCCTTCTCATTCTAGGTCTGTGTTTACTGGTAGCTACTCATATAGGCATTCATGCACCGAGGGAAATATAAAGGTACAACGTATCCTTCTCATTCTAGGTCTGTGTTTACTGGTAGCTACTCGTATAGGCCATTCACGCACCGAGGGAAATATAAAGGGTACAACGTATCCTTCTTATTCTAGGTCTGTGTTAACTGGTAGCTACTCGTATAGGCCATTCACGCACCGAGGGAAATATAAAGGGTACAACGTATCCTTCTCACTTTAGGTCTGTGCTTTACTGTGCAGTGAGATAGTCAGTTTGATCATAGGAACTACTTATGAACTTGTTACAGACTTTGTTGTTAGTCAGTTAATTTATAAATATGAAAACTGTTCTAAGGGAAACTTATGTAACATTTGTTACTCACTACAGCATAAATGAAGTTAAATTGACTATCCTTAGTGGGTATTTGAATTCAGCATTGTGTCTGTTACTGCCTAACCAACCAAGCTTTATTCTTATCCTTGTTTTAAACATAATGACTAAAGTCAATTCAATATGTCTCTGTGTATCAGGCTAAACAGAAAAGAGTTTCTGTTAATTTTTGTTAAAATTCTCTTTTCCCGGGCATACCCAATACTCATGATAGTCTTGAACTTTGCATGAACTCTGAGTTATAGGTTAACCAGCACAACTGGTAGTACTGGACCACATTTCTTACATACTAATATGTGATGTTTTTGTTAGTTAATTGTTTTTGTAAATTACATGGCAATCATTGACAACAGCCGTTTGTCTTTCACAGAAATTTGAAGCATTCCCTGATTACTTGTACAGTGCCTACATATTTTATGAAGGCTCAGGACATAACCCCCCCCCCCCCCACCCCCTGGAGCAATAATTACCCCCCTCTCAATTACTCCCCCAAGTTGAAGAAACCTGTCTCGAACTCCAACCCTGTACATATATATTACCTTAATCCTAACCTTAAGAAAAAGATCAAAACCAAAGCATTCACCTCAGCGTAAAACTTACCCAAGCCCAACCCTAGACATTGGTTTAAGCATGACTCTAACACTAGCTGTACGTTAGGCTATGACCGGGGGAGGGGGGTAATGCCCTGTTCCCATTCTATGACAAGCTAACGAACAAAGTTTTCTGTAACTACTAGCCACCTGTTGGTTGTAAATTTGTTTCTGTTTATGTAAATTAAAAAGAATTTTTTAAAAATGTAACAGATAGAAAAACCAAGTATATATTGTAAAATAATATTTTATTTGAAAAGTGATACAGTACCAAATGTGTTGTAAAATATGCCACAAAAACTTTGAAAAAAAAGGACATGGTGTACTTTTTTTTGTTATTTTAAAATGTTACATATTTTTCATGTTTATTTGCTGTTTTATCTGATGCTGTCCCTTTAAATAAGACCTCTGTTGTTGTACTCATTCTTTTCATTAGCTCAATTTGTTCATTATTGTCTTATATAATTTTAGATTTGGTTAAGTTTAAAAACGTACATATATTAAGCCAAATTTAATTTTTGATAACATTTTAAGCCAAATTTTGTTTTTAATGATATTTTTATGTTTTACAAAATAATATATGGGCTCATTTTTGTTTTTAATATTATTTTATAAATTGTGATATAGACAACTGAGAAAACGTTTTCAATGCACCATCATTTGTCCTGTTTTCGAGGTACATAATATATGTACAACCACGGTTGTTGGTATTTGTTGTTTTCTGATGTTTTTATGCTTTGTTATTATTTAGTAATAGCTTTGATATTTACCACTATTGTTGCTGTAGGCTAGAAGTTAGTTTTTATTTATTATCTAGAGTTAACATCACATTTGTGAATTTTTCCTGGTGTCATTTGGGATTATTTACTCATTAAGGCATGCGATTTTCACCCATCTGCTTCAAAAAATCACATCATAAAAACTTCTATTCTCCGGCCTTAAAGAACTGAAATTCAACCAAAAGAACTTTTTTTCTTTTTTTTTTATGGCATGACACTCTCTTTAGTAAATTTAGTCCAAATCACCGTCAACTGTCGCAAGTTATTTTTTGTGACAAATCTATGAGGTGTGTGTGTGTGGGGGGGGGGGTCCATTAAGGACGTCACACCTTTTAAAAGAATGTAATTTCCCCCCCCCCCCCCCCCCCCCCAGCATACCCATCGTCACACATCGCGAAAAAAATATAGACCCCCCACTTCTCCAAAATGGCGTCAGACCACCAACCCCCGCTTGCATTTTCACCCCCCCCCCCCTATGTTTATACTTGTTTGGCTTATACTTCTGATTGTATGGAGCAAAGTCTCAAAATCGGGTAACATCTGTAGTGTACCTAGTTTGGCGATTCTGTATACAACATTTCTGGTGAAAACTTTCTCACTTCCAGTAACTAATTTCCCTTGTTCATCCGAGTCCTTGACAAAAACCTTCACATCTTCCCTCCTCCGGGCTCTTGAGAATGCAACGTAAAGTTGACCATGGCCAAAAACTGGGGTCGGTAAATACAGCCCGACCTTGTCAAGGGTTTGGCCTTGCGACTTGTTGATAGTCATTGCGAAGGCTAGCTTCAGTGGGAATTGTCGTCTCTTCAGTTCAAAAGGCAGTCCAGAGTCAGTCTTTAGACCAATTCTTGGAATAAGAACAATGTTACCTTTCACTTTGCCAGTGGTAACCTTGGCTTCCACGACATTTCTCATCATCTTAGTTACGACCAATCTAGAGCCATTGCAAAATCCTTGGTTCGTGTTCAAATTTCGTAAAAGCATAATTATTGCTCCAACTTTTGGCTTCAATTCATGAGGTGCTGTACCTGATGGGTTTAAAGTGTTCAACAGTTCTGTTGGATAGTCGCTAAGTCTTTTCCTCCCCTTCCAGAATGTCCAAGACCTTTTGGTTTATTGAGTCAACGTCTTCATTTTTGGGACATAGAATTCCAATTCCATAAAACTGTTCCATGTGTTCATGCTTCAAGCATGTCCCGTAAATTGTCTTGACGATGTCGTCTGATTCAATCATTTGTTCTGGGATCTCTATAACGTCTTCTCCTAGATCAAAGTCATTGCCCTATTCACCATTCCCCAGTTTCAACGGCCAATTGCTGTACTCGGGGTCAACTGGTCTAACATTGAGGTCTAATTTTAAAATTTTAAACACGTCCCAGAGTTTCGAATGCTTTAAACTTGCTAGAACTACTTCAGCTGGTTCTTCACCAGGAACTACAGGTAAACATTGGCGAAAATCTCCCCCTGCCAAGATAACTTTCCCTCCAAAAGCAATATTTGATATCGTAATGTCTTCATAAAGCTTATTGATGCATTCAGCAGCAAGTGTTGGACACATTGATGCTTCATCCATAAGAATTCCGACGGCTTTTCGAATTTTTTCAGCTTCTTTAGAAGTCGCTGTAAATCTAGAGACAGAAGTTTCATTTAGTTTTAAAGGCAACCCAAACTGAGAATGGTAGGTTTTACCATTGTTCAAAAGATTAGCGGCAATGCCGGTTGAGGCAACCTCAAGCATTCATTGACCTTTACCTCTGATTGTATGAAGCAAAGTATCATACAGATAAGTCTTTCCGGTACCACCTGGGCCGTCAAGAAAAAAGCATTTGCTTCTTATAGTGTGATCGTTCACGGCTTCCATGACCGCATCAAAGGCAGCACGTTGCTTTTCATTCAGGTTTGCCTCCATCTCCTGCCCTAACATGCTCTCTTGTTCTCTGTCAATGTATTCATTCATTTACCCAATATGGTTAGATTTCGGTGTCGGTAGATGGTAATTTTTACATATTTTTTCTTGACCTATCAAAATCTCTTCGGGGTCGGCGTGGTCGAGTCGGTTAAGCTCATGGTTGCTAAACCGAAAAGTCTCGAGTTCGAACCCTCGGGCAGATGAGGCTCTTTAGCTGGGGACAGCCACTCTTCTAGGAGAGACAACTACAAAATCAAACAACTGCTGCCTTGTAGTTTGTTCTTGGTTGGACAAAGGCTATCGAAGCAAATCCAAAAAGTAAAGCAGGTTGAAATCGGAGTCAATGGCCTCAATGGCGCAAAACCAGTTGACACGTAATCCTTAATTGTGATGGAAGCATGGTCGAGTCGGCAAAGCTCATGGTTGATAAATTCGAAAAAAGTCTCGAGTTCAAACCCTCTGGCAGATAAGGCTCGATCCCTCCCAACACTAAAAATTAAGAACGAAGAAGAAGAAGAAAATCTCTTCAATTTTGTTCAAACCAAAAGAATCACACATGTTGCAGTCAGCTTCAGCAGGGTGACTGTGTCTCAATGCAAAATCTTCTATTAATCTGGCTCTGTGCTGGTTCCATAAGTTGGAAGCATCCGTAATTTCACAGTACAAACACATGTACGCAAAAAGTGCTCGAGCTTCTTTTGGCATAGCAACAATGCATGCCTCTGCCAATGTCTCATTACAAACATTTTCATTAATGACTAAACCTCTCTCCTTAGCAGCTTTATAGTAGCTATCATCGCTAATTCCATCAACTTCTTTTAAATATTCAAAGGATGTTACTCCTGGAACATGGAGAAGCAATAGTCTCAAAAAGTACCTTTCGTTGTCATTAATATTAACGGGGAGGATTCTTCCAATTACTCTTCCCTGCAATCTTTTTCGCACAGTCCAAACTCATTCCTTTTCCTGAAACACATAATGTTCATTGTATCTCGTGGTACTTGAATAGTTTTGCATTTTCATCTATTGTGTTCAACTTGAACCACGCAATCAGCCCCGTGTCCTTTCCCGGGACCGATTCAACCACCTGGCGGATATAGTCGGGGTCAAATGTCACATATGGATCTCCTTCCAAATGGATGGGTAACCGAATTATTGCATGCGTCTGGTCATGCATCTTAAAACGGAATATCCGCCACATGGCTTCTGGGGGGCTTACATATCGTGAGTAGATGAGTCTTGATCTCATCAGCTGTTACCTGAACATTAGCGCTATCAGTGCCTTTGTAAGCATACTTGAACAGATACTTAATGCTTGAAAAAGATTCGCAAATTTCCACATTAATGTGGCATTCATATTTTAAACTTAGATAAGCATTGTAAGGCACTATCCAAGAGTTATCTATTGAATACTTCCCAATCCTAACTGGTTCGTTTTTTCTTCTCATGTATATAGGATATCCATCCTGTACTATCTTTGTTTCCTCTGAGAACTTCTTAGGAAACTTTTTCGAGCATTTTCCATTAACCATGCAGGGAGATTGTGGGTTTACGACACCACACGGACCATGTATCATATTTGAGCAAATAACATGAAAAAGTCTTGGAAACTTTTCCTTATCAGGTAGTTCTGCAACAACAACTTTGTTAACAATGGTCGACGTTCTGGGCTTAAATTCACCTTCAACAGTTATTACTATGTGTGCATGGGGCAGCCCAAGCTTCTAAAACTCAATCACGTGTACTAAATCGACGACTCGACCAAAGATTTTTTTCTCTGAAATGTATTTCAACAACTGTTGCAATTTGAGCTTAAAACCTCGATCTACAATGTCTGGCCTGTTCTCGGGCCTATGTCCTGGTAAAAGGCTTTCTTCAATCTCTGGCCACTTAGGGTTGCATGTCATTGTAACAAAAAAATCTGGTTTCCCAAACTTTCTAACAATGGCCACTTAGGGTTGCATGTCATTGTAACAAAAAAAATCTGGTTTCCCAAACTTTCTAACAATGGCCACTTAGGGTTGCATGTCATTGTAACAAAAAAAATCTGGTTTCCCAAACTTTCTAACAATGGCCATTGCATATTGGTACAACTGTTGCATGTTTCGCGGACTTCCACTGAATGTGGATGGAAGTATCACTCTACGACCAGGTACTGCCGAGTCATTATCGCCGTTTTGAATAAAAGGAATAAGATTTTTGTAGGTATCACATCTCAACTGTTTTTTATGTCTTCGAATAAGTTTAAGTCATTTGACTCGACTTTAACGTAAGCATCGACAATGTATTGTTGTGTAAGTCTCCCTCCCAGTGCTTAACAGAGGGTTAAAATAATCTCGAACTTGCAAGTAGTATGAATAATACATCTTTAAGCTGATTCTAGTCCTCGTATTCCCACTATTCCTGCGCGACCCTGTTAGTCGTAATTCCTCCCCCCATCCTTGTTCGCCTTTAGGAAACAAAAGCGGATAGCATAATGCATTCAAATTCCTATGCAAAATAGAAACTTGTTGCATTCTCTGAACATTTTCTCCGTCAGCTCTCAAATATACCATTAGGTCTCTCTGCAGTGGTTGTTCTCCGTCTGAGCTTGTAAAAACTACGGCAACCTCATTACAATGCTGCGCGCTGTATCGTCGTTGGTCCTGGTCTCGATCCTGGATCAAACGCATGGTTATTTTAGGAAACTCTTCACCGCTTGCAATAGCTCTCTCGGTTTCTTCACGCTCAACTTAATACATCATCCGGTATGCCAAGTAGAATGGGTTTTCCTTCATCACCTCATACAATTTTTCCGTTATATGTCTTCGGCAATTCTTCCATTATATGTCTTCAGCAATTCTTCCATTATATGTCTTCGGCAATTTGCATTAGCAGCGTTATCTTGTCTTTCCGATGTAGCTACTTGCTTATCCAACACATAGAGTTGAGCGAAAACTGGCTTCACTCCTTCTGTGGGGTGTAATGTCCCGCTTCTGTGATAAACCTGCCCGTGAATTCTAAACGTGAATGGTCCACGGCCTCTAGGAAAATCAATTTTTGCTCCTACCGAAACCAACGCAAAAGCACTGTTATAATTATAAGATCGTATATGTTGCATAAAAATTTTGGAATCTCTGCCATGTCGAAGCATAATGTTCTTTAAATACTCATGACTTTCAAATTGTGGTAACTCTATTGTTCCCTTATTACATCAAACTGTAAACATTTTATCAGTAGGTCGCTCTTTTTGAAAAAAATCTTGCCCTGCATTTTTCACAGACCTGGTCCATGTGTCCACAATCGTTTATTTGAACGTTACCTTCTGTCACGGCCCTTTTGTATGACTGGATTCATGGCACAAACTAAAGGCAAATACAAACCACATTATTGGTGATTTTACAGTCTTTTATTGATATCAGATATCCAGCAGCTACACTACTAGAACCACGACTTTCAATTTCGTCATCTTTTTTATTCTCCCTCTCACTTCCCCTCTTTTGCGCATGCGCCTGCCCACGCTATATATTAGATTTATATCGCCTTTTTACACCTTCATTCGAAACATACATTCATCCTACATTTAACTGTTACATTTTCATCGAAATCATCGAAATCAGTCCAAGGCAACGGAATATCAGTCGTTCTATTTCTATTCTGTCTCATTCTATTTGTATTTTGTGCTCTTTGTTCTTGTGTGACATTTGCATGTCTTTCTCGAAAGCGGGCAACATCTAGGATTTGTCTAATTTGGCGTTCTTCTAATGTTTCTCTAGCAATAGCTTGTTTTTTTTTCTTTTATTGCCTTGTTGTTTTCGTCGAAAAGTTTCATCCGAAGACTCATTTTCAACAGCGATTGCATGTCGCTCAGCATCCCTTTGCCTTCTGGCTTGTGTTTCTTTAGCTGTTTCATTAGCTATAGAAATAGCATGACGCTTAGCGTCTGTTTGCCTTCTGGCTTGTGTTTCTTTAACGGTTTCATTAGCTACAGAAATAGCATGAAGCTTAGCGTCTGTTTGCCTTCTGGCTT